AAAAAAAAAAAAAAAGGGTTTTTTTATACTCATGTTGTTTTGTTGGTTACATGAGAGGCTACTTGGGTACACTCCCGTAGAGTTAAAGGGATATAAATATTTGTGTATGTTAGACTTACATAATTCGGAAATTTCAAGAACTTGTGTGGCTCCAAGAAATCTACCCAGTGCCCTTCAAGCTATAGAATGAATAATTTTAAAGAAGGAAAAAAAATAAATACATCCACCCCTATACATGCAGAAGAGTAAAAACGATTTGAAAGACAACTCACCTGGTACAGAAAGTGCTCTTTGCATTCTTTGTTGCTTTGGAGGGGCTTGTGGTGCCTGCTGATAAAAGTGACCAGGAGACTGTGGCTGAAACTGACTATCTGATGGTCGAGGAAAACGCAAGTTTCTCTGATTGGTGATAGAGTTTGGACTGGGCATGGATTGTACTTGCACCTGTCTTGCTTGCGCAACAAACCTGCCCTGACCATTCAATAAATTCTGCAAAACCAAGTATTTTGAGATTTACAATAATTGTGTAAAAGTTATACATCTTTACCTATAGATTTATTTATTCAAACATCATATATTTAGAAATAAAACAGGAAAACATTCGTACTCATGAAAAACAGTATGCAAAAAATAGCAGAATCCATTCAACATTATGAATAAGGGTGATCACCAGGAGTTTAACTCCCTACTTTCTGTTCTTGCATACAAAAGCCATACACTCGTTGCACAGTAGTGTTTCAACAAGAGAGATGCCAGGATATATATAATTATATAGTTACATTAAATGGAATGAAAGAAGAGAATAAAATGGATAAGTGCATGTGACTGGCATGGGGGGGGGGTGTTTTATTTCATACATGTTCTTTTGTTAGGTTGAACAAAAAGGTGGAAAAGTCAGTAGTGAACAGCAAAAAGTTGCACTTCAAATGAGCTCTCTTTTTAAAAATGCTGATTTTGTTTTATTTTAGTGAATCCTTTCTTGTTGTTCTTATGCTGGTGTGCAATTTTCATCTTTTCACAAGATATACTTCCTCGTTTGAACCTGAGAATTTTTGCACATAAGGTACCAACTGAACTAAAAGGCTATACCTCTAGCACTTGCTAGTTAGGTACTTTTTTTAACTACACAAATTACTCAGTCATTTTTTGTATGACATTGGCCATTAATTTGTTGAGGGGATGGTATGTTAGATGACATAGGTCAGGTAGTTATGTTGTTGGAAAAATCCTGCCATCATTCTTTAGAAATGGCAGCCTTGGTTTCATAGGGATGGAAAGAGTGATAGTCTAGGTAAGCATGACTATCAATGTCTTTGTAATGTACAGTGGGTTTAAGAGAGTAGAATGAAATGTGGATGTTGATGTCCAGAAAAGAGGCACTGGTATCGGAGAGTTAGTGAATGTATTTAAGGGGTGGGTGGGTGGAGTTATTGGACAAAGTCAATGATTTTCTCTACTTGGTATATGTAACAATATCTAAGATATTCTCAGTGTAACAGATAAAGAG